AATGGTTTAATGGAAAGCAAAGCAAAGAAAAAGACGAAGAATAATAAGGGTCATGAGAAGAAAGAGGCACAAACTGTAGATGCTGTAGAGGTTAAGCGAAATGGTGTGAAGAAAAGCAAAACAAAGAAAGAGGCAGAGAAAAACATAGATGAAAACAAAGAGTCCCGAACTATGGATATTAAGAAGGAAAGCATTGATAAAATGGTGGAAAGAAAAACACAATGTCAGGAAATATTCATGCATTTTTCGAATCTTTTCTTGTAATAAACGACAGAAAAAAGATAAAGCTGTAGTTTGATAAACTGTTTTTTGTTTTATATTAATTTTATTATATTTTCTATCACTGTTTTTGTATTCTATTTTCTGAATGAGAAGTCAAAATGGAATTAGGTGAAAAAGGACGACACGTTTGGACCTGCCTCACATAAGATGTAAGTCGTCCGGAACGAAATACAAATCCGATCTCTTAGTCTCAATTAAATACAAATGAATAAGAAAAAAGTCATTAGCTGCAGGCAAAACAAAAACGGGCCTAACAAGTACTATTTTCATGTAATTTTTATAAATCCAAGAGCTGTAATTTTGTGAAAAGTAGGTCATCCGAAACACGAACTCGACTTGTACCTCCCCATCATATAATTACATTACATATATGTTTCATTATAATACGTTATTTTGATTGGCTAACAGCAATCTCGCGTCATTCTGAAATCAACCTTCATTTCAAAATGAAATATAACATGACACGATCATCCACAATAAAGTGCACAGGTAAATAAAAGAAAAACATGATAGAAATCGTGTTTTCATGATCCTAGCAAAAAAATGTAATTCATGATTATAAGTATTGAATGCTGCTTTTAGTAATTTTATAGGGTTGTAAAAGCGTTGACCGTGCGCACATTTTTAGAATTCCGCGCTTCATACAAAATTTACTTCGGTCAACGCTTTTACACCCCAATAAATTTACAAAAAGAAGCATTCAATTCTTAAATACATACCAAAACATTATAGAAATAAGAAGATATGGTAAGTTTGCTAATAAAACAATAAGTCACAGAGACCAATAGACGTGGATTTATGCAATTACATGGCACTGTATGGCCTTCAACAATGATCAAAACCCATACCGTATAGTAAGCTATAGAGGTCCCGACAATATGTGAAACAATTCAATCGCGAAACCCAACGGCATAATGTATGCTAAAATAACAGACACAATGCTAACATGACAGACAACAACCAACTACAATGTACCACCACTTAATTACATGCTCCTGACTTTGGACAGGTACATAAAGAATGTGGCGGGGTTAAACATTGTTTGCGAGTTCTCAACACTATCATTAAGGTGGATCTGACATTTACAAGTGCGCAGTTTTTAACTCATGTTTCTAAATGTAAGGAATATCTTAGAAAACTTACCGTAGTTGTTTCTGTTTTTTTTAAACACTTAATAATAGATTTATTGCACAACTTACGTTAGTTATATTCGACAACCTATTACTGTCCGCCATCGTTCTGGTTAAAATTCAGATCTATCGGAACTCGCTTACTTGTCATCATATGAGCATTACGAAATCAGAGATCTTTATTTTAAGTAGATTGGTCTGCAATCAAAACTTTTAAAAACACAAATACTATTGTAGTATGAATTTTACGGTTCAAATACATGCATTTACAACAAGGATATGACATGTATCTAACCTATAATTTTAAATATCATCCAAGATGGATTGTCCAAATACATTGTTTAAGGATTCCAGAATTATATAAAGGTGTACATTGATAGGCATAATATATTTCTAATATTGTTTATTTCGTAAATGTTCTGTTGATGGTTTTATTCATACTATTTTGTGGTTGTGGTAGGGGTGATGGTTGTCACATTAATGATCGACATTAATCCTTATACCAGTCTTCAGAAATCAAATTATAAAATCATTTTTGAAAAATATCACATGGCTACAATTTTGTCCTTCAATTGGTCAATTTCAAAGGCTTAAAACAAATCTCTGCATAAGGGTAACGGATCCAAAGTCAGCAAATTATGGAGATGTTATCTAATAAGGCGAGTAAGTGCAATTTTGAAACTAAAAGCTTCCGGAAAACTTTGGCCGCAATCTACGATCCATAATGTTCTGTAACTCAAGAGTCCTAAGATTATATTGAATATATAGAATCAAACTTGTGTGGGTCAGGGGTTGCAGCCAAAGTTATATTAGCTAAAAACTGCAGAAAGACGCTTTATCTGATGTATGTTCTTTTGTAGGGTTACTTTATAAAAAAAATATTCAAAAAAAAATAGTTTGATACAAATATGTATCTTTTATCGTCGAATGCACAAAATGACCAAGTTACATTTTACTAAGTTTGTGAGAGAATAAAACAAAGACGTTCGCCTTCGACAGACGGTTCTTATTTCCAGAGATATAACTTAAAAGTTGTTATTAGAAGAAACTTAAATAACCGTCTTAACATTTATTGTAATTTCACGGCCACATTACATATGTCAATCGATACAGATTCTCCTTACAACAAGCCATGTTAATAACCTCATCATAGATACCAGGATACCAGGATTGAAATTTTGTACGCCAGACGTGCATTTCGTCTAAAAAAAGACTCATCAATGACACTCCGATAAAAGGTTGGCACTGGCTACCGTTACATGGAAATGTAACAATAATAAAATGATTATTGTTACATTGGAGACTAATTGCTGAATACAGGGTTGGGTAAGGAACCGATTAATTACGAATCTAATACCCCATTCACACTATGCATTTTTAAACCGGGTTCGACCCGAATTAATTACCAATAGTGTGAACACGTTAAACTGGGGCGAACCCGGATTAAAATTACCCCTCATCTGAGGTGGAGTTAATGTGGGGCGAACCCGGATTAGTTACCCCACATTCTAGTGTGAACGCAATGTGGAGTTAATGTGGGGTTGTTGCCATAGCGTTACGTGACGTTTTCTGCCGTCTGTCATTGCCAATATCAGGATAGCCATGGATGCCGAACAAGATAATTCTTCAAAAAAGAGAGGTCTAACCTGGAGTGACCAGGAGACAAATGAGCAACAGTCCTATATTCACAATGTGATGCCAACTTCCATACGGTACTTGCAATTTTCAAGTCCACTGTCAAAGCTTTTCTAAACGGAGTATCACATTTAACTAACGTAATGTTTCTTTGTTGATTCTGACGTTTTGGATCCATTCTTCATCAGTGAAACCTGGAACTATGCATTCCCACCAATTCCGTGAACGGGGTTTGCTCCATATCCTCCTTTCTGCCGGTTGTAAATTTGAGCGTCTATTCATCAATAATAAGTTGTGTCTTGCCATCAAATACTTCCTCATTCTTCTCAACATAGCAAACCTATTTTTTCGCTTTAAATTTGTAATCTTCCGCCGATTTTTCCGTATCAGTGACAAAAGAAAGAAGAACAGTACCGTGGCGGTTTCCATTTCGTTTGTTGTCACAGACGCTGTTTACAAGATGTTGCGCATGCGTGTCTATTTTTGTTGAAGGGAAAAACCCAAAGTGGGGTAATTCTTTTTCAAGTGTGAACCGGTGTAATTAATTCGGATTAACTAACCCGAGTTCGACCCGGTTTAGATTTCCTAGTGTGAACACGGTATTACAATAATATTTGTGTCTACGGTTACATTGCGTTATTGTTATATTTTAAGACTGCAATCTACGCTAGATTTATTTAACTTAAACCTTCTATAGTTTTGTTGCTTTGTTCTTCAATATGTGTGTACAAGATAATATTAGTAATAATGATAATAATAATAATATTATTCAACAAATAGTGTTGAAATAGTTTGAAATATTAATTGTTTTGATGTTCTTAAAGATACTACTACAGTTTAGTAGTGCCAAAAATATTGTTCAATGGTTCGTTCTTAAGAACTTGGGCTGAGAAAATTGTTCACTTCTATGTATTTTACTGCACACCTACCCTTAATTTATTACTGTTTATATACTATGAACAATGGATGAAGTGATTCCCATTACCAAATTTGTTTTGGGTTAAAAACTTTAAAACTTGTGATGCGTTTGAATCGAAACTAAATCATATCAAGACTCAAATTTTAGTTATAAAAACGCAGTAAATTGATACATCAAAAAGCAAAGTTTGCTAACAGTGAACTAAAATACTGTGAACTGTAAATATCAAATAAAAGTTTTCAAGTTTTATTTTAATACATATTACTTGTCCCATAGTAAATTGCAGTGCATTAATGTAACAATAACCTGGGACTATTATACTAACGTTAGTATAATAGTCCCAGCAATAACGCAATGTAACCGTAGACATAAATATTATTGTTACATTCGTAATTAATCGGCTCCTTACCCAACCCTGCATTCCGGCAATTAGTCTCCAATGTAACAATAATTTTTATATTATTGTTACATTTCCATGTAACCGTAGCCAGTGCCTAAAAGGTTTGATACGTTTGTTGGAAAAAAAACAAACGAAATATAAGCACAATTGCAAAAACCCGAAAATGGTTCGCTTTTGAGTGCATTTGGCAATATCAAAATGAGTAAAAACACTTATTACTGTGAAAAACCTTGATAAAAGAATGATGTAGACAACCAATATAATAGTATTTAGACGTAGTTAAAGCAAAACAAAACGAGGCAATCGGGCAAAAAAAAAATAACATCACCACTAAAATAACATAATAGAGAATCCCCCTATATTGGTCATATTAGGAATATTTTTATCATTAGATTTTAAAGATTGTATGATACATTTACTTAACCAATAGCTATCTATAGAGAGAGAGAGCCTACATCGATCTAGATCGTTCCAAAAACTCAATAATCAAGAACTTCTTAAAACTAGGGTTTTTGTCTGATATGAAAAAAATTAGTAATTACATGTACTTATAGGGACTTTTCATTCATTATTCCTCCTAATATAAAAATAATGAGATTTGGTATGCTTACTGATAAAAAAAAGTTCACACAGTGATCAAAGGACGCGGAAGGTTGTTTTGGAAAAGCCATGGACCATAGACAATATTTTATTAGCACAATCGCAATTATAACAATTGGTAAAGTCTCAATATAGTACAATATATAGAAGTAGATAAAAAAAAGTTAAACATGTAAATAAGCAATACTTTCTAAACAGGATATTGATATTTGATATCATTAATGGTTTTGTAAAACATTATTTCTAACTTTCAACAATTCAGAAATGTAATTTGAACATATCTTTGATATTTTTACTGACCCACTGTTTAACAATAGTTTTGGCTTTATGCTATCATTTAATATGTATATTTCTAAAATTTATACAATTTTGTCACACAGATTTCTCTTTCCTTTTGATATTTAAGGCAATGCCAAATAAAGTGATTTTCATCTTCAATTTTGTTGTGTGTACACACTTTACAAAATCTTTCATTTCTTATCATTCTGTTATATCTCCCTCTTTCTATTTCAAGGGAATGAGCATTTAATCTCATTTAAGCTATAACAGAACGATCAGACTTGAAAGTAAATTTATATGCAGTCCAGAGACAAGGATAAAATAATGATAGGGTTCCATTGGAAACTGTTTGTAAGTATTGTAATCATTAATTTTGATTTTTTTTAAAATGGTATTGACAAATCAAAATCAAGAATTGCTTCTTGGTGCCACATATTGTCCAATTTGAACTAAAGGACAATTTTTATATAGACTTTTCATACATTATTCTAACTAAATTTAGTAGGAATCAGTCAGAAAATTTAGTGAAAATAAGATTTCCTATATGGTTAATTAATAACATTTGAATCAACATTGCCACGTATGACATCTAAAACAACAAAAAGACCTTTGCAATTGAACAGCAAATCACCACTCCCATAAAGTTTGGAAAGATTTTCGCCCTGCTTCTTCAAAAGAAGAAATAGATAGTTGGCCAATCAGAAGCAAGAAATCCATCTTATTGTTAAATCCCGGGATTTTTGTAAATGATTACCCAGTCTTCATTTCAATAAAGTGTGAAGATATTTTTTGTCTTGTCATTTTTGAAAAGATGACAGTTTTACCAATCAAGATATCTCTGGAGAGGAGGAGGTAAAAAAATGTGAACAGCTGAAAAGTGACGGACACCAAGTGATGATAATTCACACTTTTGGGCCATGTGAACTAAAATTAATTGATGACATACATGCATATGTACATGTATTTCGTATGTTTGAAAGTGATATGTCAATGAGATAGCAATTCAACGCAAACAAGAGGCTGTCAGAGTGACAGCAAACCGGATTTTCCTGCATGAAAATTATATTTGCAAATCTGGACCCCCAAACAGGATCAAGTAAAAAAATAAATGTATTTTTGTAGGGTTCAGAAATGGAAAGGCCAAAATTAATCTAAGTATCACTTTTCGCTACTTAAAGGTCTTCAACTCGACAACGATAAAAGCTAAAATCATGAAAATTAATCTAGATCTTCATTTAGTCACAGGAAACAACATATTTAAATTTGAAAAGATTTCGTCAACGAGTTTTCAAGTTATTGCACGGACAATGCTCTAAGCATCACTTTTCACTACATAAAGGTCTACAGCACACCTTTCAATTAAAGAACCTTAGTGAGCGCGCTCACATACCCTACATCCCCACATTGTCATTGGAAAAATAAAATAAGTGTAAGAAAAAAAAATTGTATCAGAAAAAAATTGAATCATAATTTCCTGTCAATATGCACATCTACATAGTATGTCCTTATTATCTACACAGTTTCATGAAATTCTGTTGTGTGGTTTGAGAGGAGTTGCGATGACAAAAGGTTGCAGTAGTATATTGGGCAAATAAGTTCAAAGGGGCGTAACTCCTGGAAAATAAATGAATCGTAATTTCCTGTCGATATGCACATCTACGTAGTATGTTCTTATTATCTGAAAAGGTTTCATGAAATTCTGTTGTGTGTTTTGAGAGGAGTTGCGATGACAAAAGGTTGCAGTAGTATATTGGGCAAATAAGTTCAAAAGGGCGTAACTCCTAGAAAAAAAATTGAATCGTCATTTCCTGGCGATATGCACATCTACGTAGTATGTCCTTATTATCTAAAAAAGGTTTCATGAAATTCTGTTGTGTGGTTTGAGAGGAGTTGCGATGACAAAAAATTGCAGTAGTATATTTGGCAACTAAGTTTAAAGGGGCGTAACTCCTGGAAAAAAAATTGAATCGTAATTTCCTGTCGATATGCACATCTACGTTGTATGTCCTTATTATCTGAAAAGGTTTCATGAAATTCTGTTGTGTGGTTTGAGAGGTGTTGCAATGACAAAAGGTTGCAGTTGTACATTAAAGTGAATAAGTTCAAAGGGGCATAACTCCTAGAAAAAAAATTGAATCGTAATTTCCTGTCGATATGCACAACTACATAGTATGTCCTTATTATCTAAAAAGGTTTCGTGAAATTCTGTTGTGTGGTTTGAGAGGAGTTGCGATGACAAGAAATAGGACTGACGGACGGACAGACAAACGGACAGACGGGTCAAAAACATTATACCCTCCGCAACTCGTTGCGTGGGGTATAATAACCAATAACAAATATAGTTTACCTATTACTCATTATAAATGAGAAACAGACAAACCCTTCTGGTAGCTCAAGTTCAGATGACTCCTGTAATATTGTTGACCATTTACCAATTAGTAAATTTAAATTTGACCCAAGCATCTGGCATAGCTAGTTGTAATGTGAATGGAGGTTAAGGTCAGGTTATGGAGGTTCAAACAGATGGCAGACACGAAGTGATAATAGCTTATTTACACTTTAGGCCAGGTTAGCTAACAAATAACAAAATAGCTCAAGAAGGTCCTCTTCGCTAACAAAAGGATATGTGTGTATAACAATAAAAGATTAAATAAAACATTTAAAACTCTACATCATAAATTCATAACCCTTGTCACATGAATGAACCCCTTAATTAAATATTTTATTAGTGTTCCTGTTGACAATTTTAATGCTTGCTATGTATCAGATGCTAAATTATCCATAAAGAATCCATATTTTGTTTATGAAAATCGTCAATCCCAAATTAAACAGAATGTTTGACTACTAGAAATTTTGAACAGACAGTATACTGATCATATTTAAAGGCATAACACAATAATACACATGAACTCAAAAAGTGTTATCATTTATTGATATATATCGTAAAGCTGACACAAAACAAACCAATGGATATCACAGCCTGTAACAAATGTTAAACATACCCCTAAACGACTAGTTGGGATACACTTTTAATATAAAAATTATATCTAATGTCTTTACATGTTCTATTTCTAGATATTGTATCTTGGAAAATTTTCCTGCCATGTTATTTTCTTGCCTTGCTTCTAATATTTTACTTGTTTTTTAAAAACATTTTTCATATTTGTACTTTAAAATGCTTGTAATATTGATTTGATTTAAAATAAGTTCTAGTAATAAATATTTCATTTACCGTAAAATATTTTAATTTTGGTTAATGGGCTGTCACCATGAACATATGAAAAAAAAGCCAAAACATTCCTGGTTTACACAATTATATGTTTCAAGTTCATTAACCATTTGTTTTTGCATACTAATCCTACTTCAAATGATGAAATGAATAGACTATCTGAATGTTAAATCTATTGTACTGCAAATACACCACAAACTCTACTGACCTGTTCTATCACATTGTTTGGATGGTATATCCTTTACACCTTAAAAGCAACTATACACGTAAGAAAAATTTAATTTACATTTTATGAATATGGCTACACTAAACTCCTTTCAGTGTTAATATTAGTAGCAGTTGCAAAGGAAGGATCAGGGTTATGGTCCAAATTAATGGTAAGGTAATCTGGTAACTATAAAACTGGTTAAGTCTGCCAATGGACCCCTTTTTGAAAATCCTTTATCTGCAACTTCATTTTTTTCCAATAATAGTTGTAAGCTGTGTAAGGTCACCAGTTTATTAAATAAATAAATCTATTTTTTTAGGAAGAATACAATGTATATATATTAAAACACTTTAAAACAAATAATTAGATAACATGAAGTTTCATAAGACTCCATTATTTGACAAGCAGACGACAATCAAAAGACATTCTAATATTATAATACTTTTCAATAAAATGCAACAATTTCTCCATGACAATATTACAACATTGCATAGGACAAAACTTAATTTCACTTCATGTTAATAGCATAGAAATGTAATTTTAAGAATTGAATGCTTCTTTTTTGTAATTTTAAAGGGTTGGCTAAGCTCATACATTTTTTCTTTTATATAAAGCGCTTCCATGTTTGATGCAAAATTTGTTTCAGTCAACACTTTTACACCCCAATAAAATTTCAAAAAGAACCAATCATTCTTAAGTAAACAATAATTAGATATAATTTAAAAATTGTTTACTGTAAAAGTACTTGTTTTCATGGTATCCATTTTTGTGGATTGTGAAAACATATTTGGTTTGTTGGGTTTTCAATTCGTGGTTAAGATAAACAGATTTGAACTTAATGGAAAATATGTAATTTCTTAATGATCTTCCTTTAGTTGGTAAAGGGTTTGACCAATTAAGGTTAGAATCAAAACTGCATACAATACAGTAATCAATTATTAGTAGTATTTAATCAGTAAATTAAACCCCACAAAAAGATTAAAATATAACAAATGTAGTATACCTAAAGATAGACTAAATCCACTAATAATTTAGAAAGATACCCAAGGATAATACCTGTCATTTTCCTGACCTTTTGACTCACATAAAGTAATAACTGTTCAAAACATATAACAAAAATCAACAAATAACAGAAAGTCTTCTGTATTAAATACAAAAACATCAAAGTTGTCAAAATGCAGCCCTTCCATACAACAAAAAACAATATAAAATGTAACTATCTTGCATAATATATAAAATGTACTTTGTACCTTTTTATGTCGCTTACAATAATAATCAAAGTGCTTGTGAGCCCCTAAGGGTAAAGATTGCTTTCATTTTGCAATGTGAAATTAAAACTGAGCATGCATCTATTAAGCTATGGAAGGCAATATTTTGAATTGGGAGTTATCTTCCTTTGTTCAGAATTGTAGTTAAACCTTCATTGTAGATTTATAAACCATGCACAGCTTATGTAATTTTCAATAAAATAGTGTTATGAAAAGTATGATTATACACATACACATCATGTTGTAATTTGAATAACTGAGTATTTATCATAAATAAATTGCTTGACATGATTATTGATACGATCTACAGAATGTTCACCTCACTGCACTATGTTGTTTGTGCTCTCAAAAGTAAGTGATAAGGCCAAGGAAATATAGCTATTAAGCCAGTGTGAATAGGGTTTTGACTGGATTTCATGCAATCTTTACCCCAAAAAAATAGTGTTAAATAATAACTTTTTTCTTCACTTACACTATGGAATACATCAATGAATTGCAACAGTCAGTCAAAATGTGTGTCACCATGACTATTGTGAATGTACGACATTTAAAATAAAACATGCATTCTATTAAAAAGCACTGGTTAAGTAAGTCTTCTTTCATTCCAAGCACAATATATCTACAACACGCTTTCATTTTATAAAACAATAACTTTTGTATACTTAATGTAAAAATAAATGGCAGATGGCCACTTCTTGTCAACTTTGGGTTCTTTAAAGTCGCATTTATCTAAGGAGTTGTATAAATCTCTGACTATATTTCTAAAAAGAACTAAAAAAATTAAAGGTGCAAAATAAAGGAAGCAAAGTAAAACTCAAGGAGATAGTTTTTATGGGAATCACACCTGACAGTAAAACATTAAAACTGAATCCAACTGAAAATGCAAGCAGTAAAGCATCAAATCAGACTGAAAATAAAACATGTGAAATGTGAGCTATTGCTTACTAATGATACCTGTAGTTCCTGAGACAAATGCAACAAAAAATTGATGGGACCAATAGAAGAACAACAGACGTAAACCAGTTTACTCCTTCATTTGTACGTACAATAACAGACACTTATGCTGTAGGTAGCTTAACAAAGCCTTGTCAAATCATAATAATAGAAGCCTCGCTGGGCCTGTATGTTCACCTTACATCTTTGACAAATAGCCACTCTCCAACTTAAAAAGACCGTCCTCTTTAAATCATTATAAGTTGGTACTTTTTAAAGTTGTTTTTTTTTCAGAATTTCCCTGTGTAATTTATTTACTTAGTAACTAGGATGACTGCAATAATATTGATTAAAAAAGCCTTTAAAGTGGTTTCCCTCTGGTTTATGTGGGAACCAATGTCACCATCAAAAAGTAATTATTAAGTTGTTTGGGTTAGTTGTAGAAATGATAAAAATAAAAAAAATTTAGACCACTGACAGACAAAAGACACAAAGCAATGGCAATAGCTCAGACTTGTCTGCAGTGGATGGTGAGGTCAGAATACTGTACACAAATGCTGCTTACACAACCAAATTATTCTAATATTCCCACTATAACAAAATCGTAAAACACAAAGTTTCTACATTGTAGAATGATGCCCAACATTAAGTATTCTTCTTGAAGCTGCTGTTTAATGGTCGAGAATTCTCAGATTTCCTGACACTATTTTATTTTCTAGTAAAGCACCAGCTGGGATGTCTATTCTGTCTCCATGATTAGCAATAATAATCACCGTTCCCTGTAAAAAACGAGCATTTTTAATTGATTTGTTTCTCCATCATAGTTTTAATGTAGATCTACGATTCTTGTTATCTCCCTTTCACTCATTTTAAATAATGACTGATGGTTGCCTCACATCCATATCAAATATTGCATATTCAGGAGGACATTATGGTAATGCGATTGTACTACCCTGTTTTGTAATAGAGGACAGTATGGTAATGTGATATACACATTCCCTGTTTTGTAATAGAGGACAGTATGGTAATGTGATATACACATACCCTGTTTTGTAATAGAGGACAGTATGGTAATGCGATATACACATACCCTGTTTTGTAATAGAGGACAGTATGGTAATGCGATATACACATACCCTGTTTTGTAATAGAGGACAGTATGGTAATGTGATATACACATACCCTGTTTTGTAATAGAGGACAGTATGGTACTGCGATATACACATACCCTGTTTTGTAATAGAGGATAGTATGGTAATGTGATACACATACCCTGTTTTGTAATAGAGGACAGTATGGTAATGTGATATACACATACCCTGTTTTGTAATAGAGGACAGTATGGTAATGTGATATACACATACCCTGTTTTGTAATAGAGGACAGTATGGTAATGTGATATACACATACCCTGTTTTGTAATAGAGGACAGTATGGTAATGCGATAAACACATACCCTGTTTTGTAATAGAGGACAGTATGGTAATGTGATATACACATACCCTGTTTTGTAATAGAGGACAGTATGGTAATGCGATATACACATACCCTGTTTTGTAATAGAGGACAGTATGGTAATGAGATATACACATACCCTGTTTTGTAATAGAGGACAGTATGGTAATGTGATATACACATACCCTGTTTTGTAAAAGAGGATAATATACACATACCCTGTTTTGTAATAGAGGACAGTATGGTAATTCTATATACACATACCCTGTTTTGTAATAGAGGACGATATACACATACCCTGTTTTGTAATAGAGGACAGTATGGTAATGCGATATACACATACCCTGTTTGTAATAGAGGACAGTATTCTAATGCGATATACACATACCCTGTTTTGTAATAGAGGACAGTATGGTAATGCGATATACACATACCCTGTTTTGTAATAGAGGACAGTATGGTAATGAGATATACACATACCCTGTTTTGTAATAGAGGACAGTATGGTAATGCGATATACACATACCCTGTTTTGTAATAGAGGACAGTATGGTAATGCAATATACACATACCCTGTTTTGTAATAGAGGACAGTATGGTAATGTGATATACACATACCCTGTTTTGTAATAGAGGATAGTATGGTAATGTGATATACACATACCCTGTTTTGTAATAGAGGACAGTATGGTAATGCTATATACACATACCCTGTTTTGTAATAGAGGACGATATACACATACCGTTTTGTAATAGAGGACAGTATGGTAATGCGATATACACATACCCTGTTTTGTAATAGAGGACGATATACACATACCCTGTTTTGTAATAGAGGACAGTATGGTAATCCGATATACACATACCCTGTTTTGTAATAGAGGACGATATACACATACCCTGTTTTGTAATAGAGGACAGTATGGTCATGCGATATACACATACCCTGTTTTGTAATAGAGGACAGTATGGTAATGCGATATACACATACCCTGTTTTGTAATAGAGGACAGTATGGTAATGAGATATACACATACCCTGTTTTGTAATAGAGGACAGTATGGTAATGCGATATACACATACCCTGTTTTGTAATAGAGGACAATATGGTAAGCGATATACACATACCCTGTTTTGTAATAGAGGACAGTATGGAAATGCGATATATACATTCCCTGTTTTGTAATAGAGGACAGTATGGTAATGCGATATACACATACCCTGTTTTGTAATAGAGGACAGTATGGTAATGTGATATACACATACCCTGTTTTGTAATAGAGGACACAATTAGTCAAATTTTGTACTGTCTTGCTTACAAGGCAGAAAGACACGTCACCTTACTTTTCCCGACCCACAGATGACCAGTCTTTTCTCTTACTCCTTAATCAGGTCGGGAACACTACCTTATATGGATATGCATAAATTAGCATACTTATGTCCTCGCAAATATAATTGTATATTTACATATGAAGCAATTTTTTTTACCTGGGTTTTTGACCAATCCAATAAATGAGTAACAATGCATGATGACTATTATGTGTTTACGATCAACCGAGAACACGTGTTATTTACTGAAATTCAACACATTTTTTCATGCATTGCGGGATAAACAATTTCGATTAGTTTTTCATTTTTTGTATCCACATTTATAGTCTGTGATATAAAGTATTCATTCTATGCTCAGATTAACGAAGAGTTGTTTCTATGCAAAGAAACGAGGGTTTGAATTACCCGAAATATAGCCAGAATATATATATATATATATATAGATATATGAATATAGAAGATTTCAGATATTCGTTCACAAGACAGCAACGAAACAACAGTGATAAAAACAATTACCCATAAGATGAACTTCATTCAGATAGTTAACTATAAGGGATCTTTGAATATTGAGTGGGTTTTAAAAAAGGGGAAGACTTAGAGTGTGTCAAATATCTGTTGGGGTCACTAAAATGTCCCAGCTTTTCACATAGTTGATGTAATGATATAGTACCTACTTTTATGATTAAAAAAGTCATTTATATCGAGGAAGGGTATGTATTTATTACTTTGTCTCTAAGAAACAAACACAAATACCTTTCAGAAAGATTGGTTTTCCATTATTTTTTACTTTGGAATTCTGTGTAATATTTTCATATTTAGAATTTGACAGGTACAGTACATGTATAAAACCTATATCAACTATCATAACTCATCGAAACTGCTCAAGACATTTCTTAATTCTTGTCGGGCAATACTTACAAAATCTCTAAGAAGCATATATATATATATATATATATGATACATGTAGCCCATTCCTTCAAACTGTTTTGACAGGTTTAAAAGAGCTCAAATGATTTTTATACTGGACAGTGGCATACCTGCCAACTTTTAAAAATCTCCATGGGGGATTTTAAGTGCAAGGGGACCTAATGCTCCTCTTATATTGTCATAAGTATTCTTAATCTACTTCTATATTGTTTGAATGAGTATATATGTGCTTAAATACCCTTTGAACTCATTTGATTGCCTGTTTTGTGGTGTTCAGTTTATTTTATAAAGAATTTCAAAATTCAGGTCAACGCCTCTCATGGGGGATATCCCCCATACATCAGGATAGTTGGCAGGTCTGCAGTGGTCACTTCATTGGAAATTTCACTGTGCCACATGAAATTAATGCATAGGTACAATGCATAACAATGGAAAAAACATGTTCAAACTACTTTTACAAGGTGAAAAAGAAAGTCGAATCATGTAGCCAGAAGACAACATTTTTTTAATCTGAGCATGCAAATTGAAGATTATGTTATATATTTTACATTTAATATATTGGCTGAACAAAAACATGTATTATAAGAGTCCCAGACACTATATCAGTTGACAGCTTTCCCACTAATTCCACATATTTTTAAATGGTAGTAAACTCGTAGTAGCCCACAATGCATTGTAATTCATTGAGTCGGTTGGTCAGTTTTTCAAGGCCATGTTTACCTTCTATTTGGTAAATTACTATGCAAATATATTCTGACTTCAGGAAAATGTAGTTGTCCTGACCTGTTAATTTAATGTGCTTGTCAGAGAAGCTACATATTCCAATTTAATGGTCAAAGGTTTGAAACAGCAGGGAACCTAGCCTACATCCTATTAGCCTACAATGAGATCACCAAGATGGCCATGCTTTTAAATAATAATAATTAAACAAGGTGTTGTTCCAAATGAATACAGTAAAAGTTTCATTTTTTTAAGGACAATCTTCTCATTCTAACATAAATCTTGAAAGGTAATCTTTCACATTTCACTTAAAAGTATAAAATAGTTCCCCATGAAATTGTTCCTGATTTAACTTACATAATGCTTTAAAACTATGAAAACTATATCATATCTAATTATTACATACAATGATTATGTATGAAAAAGACAATGAGTCCCAAGTTAGTCCTTCACCAAACTGGCAAGTGGAATTTAAATTTGATGAGTTGAAATGAAAAGCTGCTTGCCAATTTGGCAAGTAAGAAAAAAAAGTTTCACACACACTGTAAAACCAATGAAAATGCAGTGACAAAGTGCAACACTGCTCACTAGTAATTGCAATTATCAAGAAGGAGAGTATAAAGTGAAGAGAGCTTCCTACTGTTTTGAAGTTTTAACTTCTCATAGAAGATTGAGTGAATACTTATACCTTTAAAGATACATTTTTGCCAAATGTCACATCTCCAGATACAGTCAAATGGTCTAATTCTAACATATCAGGTATGCTCGAAAATCTTGATAGGTAATCTTTCACCTAAAATAATATGTAAAACATTGTAAATGGTTATTCTACTAAAATAAAAAAGATATCTTACAGTAATCTAAGTTAATGGGTTGTTGTCTTACTGACATATACCCCACATCTATTGTTTTCATAATTACCAGAACTATGCCATTCTTTTAAGCAGTGTAATATTTTGGACATTGGATCTTCATAAATTGCCTATAAATTAAGCAATTTCATTTTCATCAATTTACTTTTCATTTTCATCAAAAGAATCATTTCAAACGCAACATAAATGCTTAAAATACATGATAGCCTTTCATTTGCACCATTATAAAGAATTATGTACCATGAATATTTACATAAGACACACAAATTTTGTCTGTATCTTCCTTTCACAGGGTAATAAATCCCTGGCTTTTAAAAGGGGCAGAAGGTTTATAATTTCAAGTAGCTTATAGTTAAGTTTTAGAAGCTATTGAATAAATGCAAATCAAGATACAGTACGTAAATCAATTTTTAAGTTCTGTATTTAATTCCACTTGTACAGAAAAAATATGTAATAGAGCAGTACAAAATCAAAGCATTTTCATGATAATGAACGGAAACTGTTTGGCAGCCACTTGCCCACCCGCGGTACATCCCCAAATCAATAACAGATTTTTCTTTCGAAAATCCGGTTAAAAATGAAGAATGTGTCCATGGGATGCGGATGCCCTCGCTTGAAAAATTAATAAAGTGACGTAACTCAAGAACGGCAAAAGTGACACCACCTAGATTTGAACTTGATCTGTGTTTGTTGGTAATAAGCATTGTGTACAAGTTTTATTACATTTGGTTGATGCATACTAAAGTTAGAGTGCAGAAATGACAAATTTAGCAATTTTTCCATTTATAAAGGGATATAACTCACAGAACGGTAAAGTGACGCCATCCACATTCAAATTTGATCTGTGTTTGGTGGAAATAATCATTGTGTATAAGTTTTATAACATTTGGTTGAGGCAAACTAAAGTTAGAGCGCGGAAACGACAAATTTAGCAATTTTTGCATTTATAAAGGGACATAACTAAAGAACGGTGAAAGTGAGGCCATCAAAATTCAAACTTGATCTGTGTTTGGTTGTAATAATCATTGTTCATAAGTTTCATAACATTTAGTAAAGGCAAACTAAAGTTAGAGAACGTAAACTAATTTTGGGACGTACGTACAGACAGACAAGGGTAAAACTTAATGCCCCCTCCGCTACGGCAAGGTAATAAAAAGCAATTCTAATATATAATTGGGCAACCCTATTGATGAACTAGCTCTGGAGAGCTACTTCTGCTCTAAATTTGAAATTTTCATTTAACAGAGTATATTTTTTCACCTCATGCTTATGTAAACCAGATTGAATATCAAGTGACCTCATTTTAATTCAAATATCCTGAATCTTCTTTATAATGTTTTCCCTTTACATACAGATACCAGATAGCAGAAAAATTGAATTTGTATGGATACTTGATTTCATGGTTTAATAAAATGCTCCGCTGGGGCGCAGCTTGATACGACCGCAGAGGTCGAACCCTGAACAGTTGGGGCAAGTATGGACACAACATTCAAGCTTGATACAGCACTGAATTTGGATTGTAATTAAATATTTGACACAGCATAGGTTTCTCACACAGAATGATTGTGGTCTAAGAACTTAAAAATTTTTAATTTACCTATTCAAACCATATCATTATTATTTGCTTTTATATATAAATCAGAAATAACCAATTAAAAAAGGAAAATTTTAAAGAAAAAAAAAAAGAAAAAAAATCCCCCCCAATTTTTTGAACCCCCTTATGATTCATCACCCCCAAACTCAATCCCAGCTTTCCCTTTGTGGTATGGTACCTTGCAGTACAATTTCATAAAGATCCTTACACTTACACACAAGTTATTGTCTGGAAACTAGAAAAATGCTTGTTTTTTTTCCCTTTTATGGCCCCTAATTATTAAAATTTTGAGGGAATTACCCCCAAAATCAATCCCAGCCTTCCCTTTGTGGTATGATACCTTGCAGTACAATTTCAGAGAGATCCATACATTTGAACACAAGTTATTGTCTGGAAACTAGAAAAATGCTTATTTTTGGTCCCTTTTTGGCCCCTTATTCCTAAACTTTTTGGGCAATTACCCCCAAACTCAATTCCAGCTTTCCCTTTGTGATATGGAACCTTGTAGTACAATTTTATAAAGATCCATACACTTACACATAAGTTATTGTCATGAAACTAGAAAAATGCTTGTTTTTTGCCCCTTTTTGGCCCCTAATTCCTAAAATTTGGAGGCAATTACCCCCAAAATCAATCCCAGCATTCCCTTTGTGATATGGAACCTTGTGATTCAATGTCAGAGAGATCCATACACTTACACACAAGTTATTGTCATGAAACTAGAAAAATGCTTGTTTTTTGCCCCTTTTTGGCCCCTAATTCCTAAAATTTGGAGGCAATTATCCCCAAAATCAATCCCAGCATTCCCTTTGTGATATGGAACCTTGTGGTACAATGTCAGAGAGATCCATACACTTACACACAAGTTATGTCTGGAAGTTACAAAAATGCTTATTTTTGGCCACTTTTTGGCCCCTAATTCCTTAACTGTGGGTACCATAACCCCCAAAATCAATCCCCACCTTCCTTTTGTGGTATTGAACCATATGGTAAAATTTCATTGAGATCCATTCACTTAAACTAAAGTTAGAGTGCGAAAACTAATGCGTCTTCGGACGACGACGACAATGATGCCAACGTCATACCAATATACGACCACAAAAATTTTTTTGCGGTCGTATAAAAATAATTAGCATCCAGAATAGGCCTGTAGGAAACAGTTGTTTTTTAACACGTTAATTCCTCAATGACCTTAACCCATGAATTTAAATAACAAAAAATCTGAAGTCCATGAATAATTATGAATCCACAGCACATATTTAATAAACATTTTTTTAGTAATGAAATAAAGATAACTTTTCAAATTGGTGCAAATGTAATGTTGGTTTATAATTTATACAATTCATATTTTATTTTCATATGAACAAAGTGTGGTCTCATGTGACTGTCTTTGTAAAACAAGATCTTAGTATAACAAATAGGATCTCATTTACAAAGGCCAAGGACAAAGTTCTCATATTTCAAAAAAATCCAAAATGAATTACTGGTAGAAGATTTCTTTGAAATATGAGCTTTGTCCTTATCCTTGGTAAATGAAATCTTTATTTGATTATGTGGTCTCAGTGTGAATGATACCTTTATATTCTTTTTAAATGTATTACTACTATATCATAATTGGGTATTATTTGAAAAGATGTCAGCTTTTTTGGATTGAATAGAGATATAATCATCTTTGTAGGGATAAAAAGAGAACATATGTTGATAAAATGTTCCTTTAGTAATGAACTCTATATAGTCATTTTGGATTGTGATATTCCCTTTATATTGATTGATTGTTGTTTGCTTAACATCCAGTGGCAAATATTTCATACATGTTCAGGATGATATTCTCTTTATAAAATGGGATTCTGGTTAGATTCTGTTTAGATTAGATCTTTAAATTCATTTCAGATTGTAATATTAGCTTTGCAAAAATAAATCATTAAGAAATTTGGTTGTACCTTTGAGAAATGTGATCCTAGTTTGACTAGAGGTCCCTGTGGGAATGATCTCTTTGGATTCATCTGCAATGCTCCAGTATGTAGACTATATAAGTTAGACATCACAATTAGTAAATCTGATGTAGTCTTCACTGGCAAGAATCGTCTACGTGGAACATTAATTCCTACAATAAGTATTTTTTGATAGTTACAAATTAGTCAAACATATATAAATTTTTTCTGGAAAAAATATTTTCTCATGAAATAAAAATTCAGTAAGACTTGTTTTAGACACTAATTGTAAAAAGTGCAGTTCACATCTTTTTTATTTGATTACTACATGTATAATACATGACCTAAATTTGCATATTCAACTGTTTTGGTATTTTGAGGAACCAGTTCGATAAAAAAAAATTAATCATCATGTATAATCTAGTTCTAGTTTATATTTTATCTAATGATTTCAAATTTCTTGTTCTAGTAATATCCTTGCTGATATCTTGGTAGCATCCTTGCTTTTGATTACCAGAAATTGTGAGTTCAATCATTGTTGAGCTGGGTCAAACCAAACACTTGAAAATCGATATCTGCAGCTTTTCCACTAAGCATTTCGGAGTAAGAGTAAAGACTGGTCAGCTCAGGTCAGAATAATGTCTCCAGGTGGAATGACATGTCTTCTTGCTGACTGTTACCTTGTTAACTATCACATTAAAAATCTGTTTCAGTGCGTCAGTCAAGTAAACAGCACAGTTCATTTTCTTGTCACATTAACATGTTCTCGTCCCGATATTTATGGAATATTTCACCTATATAATTTTAACCTCTCTAAACTTCCCTTATCTCTATATCAATATCATATAATGTTTGTTTGCAATTTGTTTTTTGTCATATGAAATTGCAACTGCCTTGTAGTACCTCCAGGTGTTGAAAAGTATTAGGAAATGAACATATTAACAATACATAAAGCTGTTTTTTATGTAGACAATAGTTATAATTAATATTAATTCATTCTAAATAAAATGTGTACTATTGATGTTTAATCCCCATAAACATAAATCATATACTGACCCATAGCACCCTCAAAACTTTTGATAGCAGCTCCAACAGCAGTCTCTAATTGTATAACATTTACACCATTGTCTAATGTCTAAAAATAAGATTTTGTTCTTAAATATCAAGACCTAAGAGCAGATCTTTTAATATTTGGATAGGTATTGTATTGTTTATATTTATATGATCTATTACAGAGAATAAGTCATTATAAAATGCTAAGTCAAACTCGGACCAATATCAGCCTGAACATTGAATAGGGACTAAATATATGATTTATCAAAGCATTGTATTTCCATATATACTTCTTCTGTCAGCTTATCTCTGCCGAAAAATCTGTATTGTTTTTTCTTTACTTCAAGATGATGTTACCACCCAAGATTTTTGGTGGGGTTCATATTGTTCAGTCTAATTTTCTTTGTTGTGTTTTTTGTACTGTTTTTCTTTTCATAGTTTTCATTTTTTGCCATGGTATTGTCAGTTTGTTTTCAACTTATAAGTTTAATATCCCTTTGATATCTTTTGCCTCTCTCTTACCCAACAATTTCGTTTGAACCAGAGTTATCAATGACCTCATAATGTTTAGAATAAACAAACTTTGACTTTTATTCTAACAGGATAAGCTTCTACAAATGTCTTCTGTGTTTTGTTGTGTTGTTAGATTGCTGTCTTTTATCATTGACATATGACCTACATCTCCTTTACTAATATTCCAAAATGTTGAAAGAACAATGTCTTATATCAAAAACTCCAATCATTTTAATAAACAGATTATAAGTTTTTAAGCATTATATTATAAGCACATTGCCTTTAATTGAAGGCAAATTAACAAAAATGAAAAACAATAATTGTATCAACCAAAATGTAATGTAAGTGTTCATTTTGTGCCTATTTTGTAGATTTTATATCTGTAAATTTTCTTCGAAGTAACATTTATTGTTTAACATCTTTTTTATACAAGTTTAAAAACTGATGTTGTTCAAACATGTGTTACACTAATTGCTATACTTAAATCAGAAATTATTACAATATATTTATTGACAGAGAGATAAAGCTAACATCAAAGTAATCTTACCAATTCAACTGTAATTAAATCTTTGATTATTGTTTTTATTGGTATAAATATTGACTTTGTTATCAGCAAATTAACACCATACTAAATATTATTGTTATGAACATATGTACTTTCATGATACTACAATCTGTTGATACCTATATTTTGGCATTGCACAAGGTCATGTTTTTCTCTGATTGTTAATGACGTCTTTACACTAAATCCATTGGATGTTGGATGTGTACTGATTGATATTTTAGTCTTAGATACATGATTTTTATTAATTGTTACTGGCTTTAAATTAGCTGGCAGTAACTGCGAGTACTCTCAAATCTGTACATAGTGTCTTTATTGTTGTTTAGGATGAGGAATGGATAAATACCTGCCAGGTGCGGTCTGTGTTTTTCTGCTTTGTATTGATCTGATGAGTTAAGCCTTTTTCAACTGCTTTTTATAGTTTGTTCTTATGTAGTGCTGTTACATCACTGTCCCAGGTTAGGGGAGGGTTGAGTGGTCACAAACATGTTTAACCCCGCCACATTCTTTATGTGCCTGTCCCAAGTCAGGAACCTGTAGTTCAGTGGTTGTCGTTGGTTCATGTCTGTCATATTTGTCTTTCGTAAATTGTTTTGTTATAAATTAGGCCGTTAGTTTTCTCGATTGAATTGTTTCATATTTTTCATGTCTGGGCCTTTAATAGACAACTATATGGTATGGGTTTTTCTCATTGTTGAAGGCCGTACGGTTGCCTATAATTGCTTACATCCACTTCATTTGAACTTGGGTGGATAGTTGTCTTATTGGCATTCATACCAAATCTCTGTATTTTTATATCAATGTTATTTTAAAAGTTATTCTGTTTTTCAATTAAAAAAAACCTTAAAATGCTATTAAAACTGAAATGACATCCTACTTGAACAACATTGAACAATGAAAACTTTTATTTCTTTTTTATTTTCCTCCATTGAGCAGTAGTCCATCTTTATACGTAAAACTTTTCCTACCTTTGGGTTGACAATTATCTCCATATGTAGTGACTTATCATCTGTTACTCTTTTGATTGCATCTAAACTGATCCATAAATTATTGGTATTGAAAATTCTGTAAAAAATATATTTTAAATTCAGAATTTTATGCACACATTTCCTGTAAATTCAGAATTTATTGCAAATCCCAGACAACAAACAGTAATGAAAGATAAATAATATTTGGTTATTGCATGAATAGTGTACCGAGTAGATTTTTATAATGCACGAGCTTGAGAGTGCAATATATATTCAATGAGGGAAAATATACACCGTTTTGTTCTAAAATTAAAAAAAATAACTCTAGAACGGTTGTGTATAAGTTTCATAACATTTGGTTGAGACAAACTAAAGTTAGAGAATGGAAACTATAAATTTTGCAATTTTTCCATTTATAAAGGGGCATAACTCTAGAACGGTTAAAGTGATGCCACCAAAATTCAAACTTGATCTGTGTTTTGTGGTAATAAGCATTGTGTATAAGTTTCATAACATTTGGTTGAGGCAAACTCAAGTTAGTGAATGGAAACAAATTTTGGGACGTACGTTTGTACGTACAGATGGACAAGGTAAAACTTAATGCCCCCACCGCTACGACGGGGGCATAAAAAACCCACCTCAAAACAGCAAAAGTAATGAATGCATAGAACTAAGTTTAAATGCTACTTACTTAAACTTTGATACACTTTTAAATTCATCAACCTGCAAAACACAATATCATGTCACTACAATTAATTTGTATGTATAATTCAAATGTTTTTAATTAATTTGTATGTATAATTCAAAGGTTTTAATTAATTTGAATGTATAATTCAAAGGTTTTAATTAATTTGTATGTATATTCAAAGGTTTTAATTAATTTGAATGTATAATTCAAGGGTTTTAATTAATTTGTATGTATAGTTCAAAGGTTTTAATTAATTTGTATATATAATTCAAAGGTTTTAATTAATTTGTATGTATAATTCAAAGGTTTTAATTAATTTGTATGTATAATTCAAAGGTTTTAATTTATTTGTATGTATAATTCAAAGGTTTTAATTAATTTACATATATTTTCCAAAGTAATTCGTTTGCTATTAATGTACTTGGTACAAAAAATAATTGGTCATCTGAAATTTTTAATATAAGAAAGAAATAAAGGTTAAATTACATCAAATTAAGAAATAGATGATGAAAGAGTACATTTTTTTAAAATATAAACATATTTTTCCAAATACTGGGGATATGATCAGTCTACCTTCCATATCCTCTTCCTAAGAAGACAGGAGGATGCTAATACTTAGATTTTTTAATAGATCATATATTCTATGATAATCCTTTCCCTTTCAATTGGTGTTTTATCATAATAACAATGACAAACAAATAATAATTATGACAAATTATGTAATAAGATAGAACCCCTAAAATATTAGACAGTATACATTATTTCTAAAGGATATATGAAATCCTAAATGATCCTATAATAAATGCAACTATTAATTTTGATAGGAAGTATTATTTTCTATTTCCTTCTATGATTCAGATTTAAATAACTTAATGTAAATTAAATAGTTTATCCTTTCTACGTAGTTTATATTTATATATACATGTAACTAGTTCCTGTCTCTATTCAATGTTACATGCTAATATAGTTACTTACATGCTCTTTTGGAACTTGAGCAATTTCTAACAACCGTAATTTACCCTCATATTCCACAAGGGTACCACCCTGAATAAGAAAAAAAAAGTTCAAAATGTAATAATACTAATAATCTCTAAGAAAACTGAAAAAAAAGCAAACATTTACTACTAATATTCTTGTCTAACAAAAAATATTTGTATTTCAGAATTTGTCAAGAACAGAATCATTATTTGTTACCTAAAAGTTTACCATCATAATTCGTTGTCCTACAGACATCCTTAACTGTTATCATAACAAAAATTGAAAAAGCACAGAAAATTTTAGGCTATAAAATCATCATCCCTGAATTTCAGCTTTTACTGGTGTTTCCATGTATCTTCTTGATAGCTGGTACTCTTCATTATAATTGTTGCCTCATGGAATGTATCCATAACTGTATAAATAACTATCAAAATCAGTCAAAATGAAAAGCTGAGACAAGTAAGTCTTACCTTAACATCAGCCCTAGTTTTATCTGTAACCTCCATTACAAATTCTGGTGGTTGCTCTTGTTCCATTAAAAAGTTTAGAATGTCTTACAATAAATAAGGAAGACTTTTAAATTTTTATGCAATTTCATACTTTTTTAGACCAACATGTCTCTCAGTTTAATTGATTGGTTTGTGTTTAACGCCCCTTTCAGCACTATTAATATATTTTGTGGCGGTCAGTTTTCATTGAACCAGAAACCCTGGGTGTCTGGAGAGAACCCCTGACCTTTGGTAGGAAAACTGACAATCCTAGTCAATTAAGATTGGGTCGACCACATCTGCCACTGTGTGCGAGATTTGAACACGTAACCTTAGTGTTGACAGGCAACTGATACAGTAGTTCAACTACTTAGTCCACTCAGCCACCAAGGCCCCTCTCTCAGTTTGATATTTTTATTATATTATTATCATTTGTTTATGATTTGTTTTGCACCCATTTTCCTTTTTTCCTGTCATTTTACTTTTACACATTTTTATTACATCAATGAATCTTCCATTTGGACTTTGAATATCTTCCATAGAACACATGTCAAATAAGATGCTGACATTTTATCGTCATGCTTATGTGAAACTGGTTTTAACACTTTAAAACCAGAAATGGTAAATATTGATAGAAAATGAACAAATTTATCATAAACTAACTTCAAAATGTTAATTGGGAACAATGTTCAAATTAGGAAATATAAGAGTAATATATGAACATAGATTGTAAAATTATCAAATACATGCTGAGCTATATATATACCATTCACTGAGGACTGACATATCACTGATGGATTTAGGGTTGCTGAAATCAATTACAAAGTAAAAAAAAAATATTATAAAAGGATACTCAAATCTACTGTGGCACCAAGATTATCAATATTTGATATAAATACATATTTCTTTCCACTTTCCAGAAATTGTTTCAATAAACCAGAGTTGACTAGACTTTGATAAACATCTCCATGACCAGGTGGGTACCAGCTGAAATGAAGTAGCAAAGTTTAACATAGTAATCTTCAATTATAGAGGTTGTCTCATCCCCCAATTTGATCTATAAACCTAATAAGCTACTTAAAATAGGCCTTACAGTGACCTTTATGTGTTAATATCCTCATCCTTTGGTCTATGGTGGATAGTTGTCTCATTGGCATTCATACCACATCTCTTTATTCCTATATGGAAGAAAAAGTTTTATACATAATGAAAACAACTGCATTTCAGCTGATTTAAAACTATAATAATTCTCCAATATACTACTGCCTTTGCAACCTTGAGAGGACTTGAAAATCAGACTGTTAAACATTATGGCAAATGTATCATGAGTAACACAGAAACTTGCTACCAGAGAGTTAATTCCATGATACATGTATATATAAAGTAACTTATCTTTAATTATAGAAAGGTTAATAGAACGCAGAAAATTACCCACCAAATGTATTTTCTCTTTACGTCAGGCTATCTAGCTGATATGCTTCTCTTTATTGTTTGTCGTTGTGTTTTTTGTTTTAGGATGAGTTGGTGGCAGGTGGATAGTGATTTTTTTGTATTTTTAGCAATTGCTGTTGATTTTTATACATTTTGTATTACCTCTCAGTATAAACAGATGTAAAACTACTAGCCATTAGCAACAGAGTGATTCTCTATTTACTGTAGGATATCTGTAAAGTAACTTACCTCTCAGTATTATCAGATGTAAAACTGTTACCAATAGGTAGTAGTGACTCTCTGTTAATTCTAGAATATCTGTAAAGTAACTTACCTCTCTGTTAATTCTAGAATATCTGTAAAGTAACTTACCTCTCAGTATTATCAGATGTAAAACTGTTCCCAATAGGTAGTAGTGACTCTCTGTTAATTCTAGAATATCTGTAAAGTAACTTACCTCAGTATTATCAGATGTAAAACTGTTACCAATAGGTAGTAGTGACTCTCTGTTAATTCTAGGATATCTGTAAAGTAACTTACTTCTCAGTATTATCAGATGTAAAACTGTTACCAATAGGTAGTAGTGACTCTCTGTTAATTCTAGGATATCTTTAAAGTAACTTACCTCTCAGTATTATCAGATGTAAAACTGTTACCAATAGGTAGTAGTGACTCTCTGTTAATTCTAGGATATCTGTAAAAAAAATATATTAGCTTTATGGTTGAGTCATAACTTTTTCTGAGAGTAATTTAAAATAAACCATTTAATTTTTTAGCATTAACAAAAAATCTATTTTAAAACATACTTATATAGCAAATCTGACCATCTTTTATTTTTCAAATATCAGTTTTACATAATAATACATCAGAAATAATCTCCAGAGACTGGTAAATAAAAGAAGAATGTGTCTGAGGACACAACTGCCCCCGCTCAAGCTTCAAACAAACAAAAATGGGAGGAAGGGACGGACTTAAAGACTGAAGGACGGAAAGACAGGAAGATGGAAGGTCAAGGGTAACACTTAATTTCCAAGTCACCTACGGCGGGGGCTTAATAATTAGAAAAAATTTATATTCAGTTTTCTTTCGTTCATTAATGCTATCGTGCAAATGAAGTACATTTACTAAATAAGTTTATTATTAAGTCAGACAGAACTGTTTAAAGCAATGCTGAGTTCAAAATATGTTCACATATTTATATTCTCCCTATTCTGGCTTTTGTATTCAAATTGTATAAATCTTGATCACAAATCTTACATGCCTGGTTTGGTTAAATGTACTGTATAAATCTTCCTACCTGCTTTGGTTAAATGTATGTATCTGGAGCTGAAGTTTTCCATATCTTTGTAAAACCTTCAGTGTATCCTCATCAGTGTTGAAGGAATTCATCAATACAAGGGGAACGTCGGTTCCATGCGTTCTGTTTAAATGCTACAATATATACAAGTAATCTTATTTCGAAAATACTTTTTTTCTTCAAATCTGCCTTGTCTAAACAAAACAAAAGTAGAAAGAACAAACTCTTTAAAATTTTTAGAATAAAAAAAGATTGCAATTAGAAAATTGTTATGTAAAAATATAAAGATGTGGTATTATTGCAAATGAGACAACTCTCCACTAGAGACCAAATGAGGTAGAAGTTACATGTAATTTAACATTTCTTTTTTGGCAACAAAAATCATATAAATGCTTTAGTAGTTTGGATTTCGTATATACTACAAAGTTGCTATTTGTTCAGTCAAATTGCATTGACCATATAAACATTTGTGATATACAGTATCTGACCATATAAGGCCTTGTTTGTGACCTTAATAATGTGTTTCTGTATACCGTAGTTTTATTTATGATTAAAACAAAAATATGTATAATTTTTATGACCTCGCTTTAATTCTAAAATATGAGATATTTGAAAGAATTGCAGTATAAAGAGAACAACCATACATTGTATCAAATTATAAATTGTATTTGTATTCGGCTCGAAACAGGATGGAAAAGCTTTGCAAAGCCTTACATTCTAACTGATTTTTAACATTGCACAAATAAATTCTATATTTTACAACACTGTATGGTTATTCAAAATATATAATAGTCAAAAATATGTATCACAAATTTCAGTGCCCATGAGTTTTACTTCCATGAAAGTTGGGCTTTAATTAAGTAATCAAGTATTTGTGTATTGCTCTGAACATCCAATTATGGCACATAAAAATGATAATCAATAATCAGACTTTTGTTGAGCATGAAATATTAGTGAAAATGCTACAGCAGATTAAAATCTTGTAGCAATTTGTGACTGATTATATGGATTAACGGATTTTTACTTAATGTTCAGTTGCAAATATTTCATATTTATCCTTATTTAACTAAAAAGATAGTGCATTACTTGAATAACAAATTAATCATATCTAATCAATTTTTTGTTAAATCCAGAAATTTTTAAAAAATGAAATCAATAAAAATGATATTCATTTAAAGTCATATGAAACGAGTTTCTTGTAATTTTAATGTCATCGAAATTATTGAACCAATGCATGCATATATATACTAAATTAAGTCCTGTATGCACTGTTTTTATGTCTATCAAGAATCTATAATGTATTCTTGACAAATAATATTTCATTCAGTGATTGTTGATTGCATGCTAATTAACTTTCGAGTTTGTTGCCAAAGATTTCTGGATCGTGACATTGATAAACAATCAACACAGAGCACATGGAGCTCATGACAAAAAAGTGAACAGATAGAGCCATGATAAAAAAAAACATATAGTTTTAATATGTTCCCTTTTGTTAATTTAACTTTTCCATAAAAGTTGTTAAATGATTTGTTGTATTAGATTTGTTCTTTGAGATTCAGTTATTACTATTTACTTTCCACTGCACGTTCATTTACATTTTTCCATAACTGTTTTCCCCTCACACTTAAGCTGTGTGATGGCCGAAGTTCAGCGAGAGGTTTCGAAGTTAAGGTCACTGCATACATAAAAATATTGGCGAATTAGTGTACGGGAAGACAATAATTCAATAGCAGTACATTTATGAAGATTTTGATAATATAAAGGATTTTCTTATACAAGAAATTTCACAAATACGAGTTTCAAAGTAAGACTTAGCCATTCAAGTATATAAAACATACTACTTTTTTTTTAAACTTCAAGTTTCATATGACTTTTAGTACTCAAGTACTTATTTATCTTTTTTAACAAATTGACATCCATAGTAAAAATGCATTCTAAGATAAAAATTTATTTATTGAATAGCCCAAGATTGTTCAGCTGTTTCCATCTTGTTTTGTACCATGTGAACTATCTCATAACTTAAAACATAATCCTGACATTTAATTCAAACTTTTTATTATAGGTCATTTGAATACAATACAACAGTATATTCTAAATCTATATAATGTAACAGAACATGACTTGAAACATCTGTGTTCTCAATGTCCCTACACCTAAATAATGTTTAACTATAATTTACAAATAATTAAAAACAAGCCATTTTCAAAATTAGATTTAATAAACTGCTTCGCTGAGCGCAGCTGGATACGACCACAGAGGTCCAACCCTGAACAGTTGGGGCAAAAATGGACACAATATTCAAGCTTGATACAGGTCTGAATTTGGATTGTAATTAAATATTTGACACATTATAGGTTTCTGACACAGAATAAATGTAGTCAAAGAACTTGAAATTGGTTGTATGATTTGAATTTATATTCAATTGAAGATTTCTTGTTGTTGTGCAATACACTGTGCTGTTGCGCAATACTTAGCAAATCTGTTTTCAGACTATATACAAAGAATTAGCAAAATAAATTGTGACCCCCAATTTTTGTTGTTTGGAAAATTGACAATTTCTTCAATCTTGAGGGAAAAAAAATTGACACCCCCCCCCCCCCCCCCCCCAATTTTTTTTTTAACCCCCCTCCCAAAAAAATATTTGATGAGAATTTTCTTTTGATGAAAAAAAATTGCCCCCCACCCCCAAAAAAAATTACCCACCCCCCCCCCCCCCCCCCTTTTCCCAAAAAAATAATTTTGAAGAAATTTTCTTTTTGTAAAATGTGGTACAAATTAAGAGACAACCTTACACTTTAACACAAGTTATTGTCTGAAAACTAGAAAATGCTTGTTTTAGACCCTTTTTGGCCTTTAATTCCTAAATGGTTGGGACCATCACCCCCAAAAAATCCCAACCTTCTACTTGTGGTATTGAACCTTTTGGTTAAATTTCATAGCGATCCATACACTTAAACTAAAGTTATCATCTGGAATCCAAATATATGATTTGAATTTATATTCAATTGAAGATTTCTTGCTTTTGTGCAATACACTGTGCTGTTGTGTAATACTTAGTAAATCTGTTTTCAGACTATATACCGGGTACAAAGAATTAGCAAAATAAATTGTGACCCCCAATTTGTTTCTTTGGAAAATTGACAATTTCTTAAATCTTGAGGGAACAAAAAGAGACCCCTCTGCAAAAGAAAAATTTTTTGTCCCCCCAAAATTTTTTTTTTACCCCCCTCCAAAAAAATTAATATTTGAAGAGAATTTTCTTTTGAGGAAAAAAAATTGCCCCCCCCTCCAAAATTTTTTTTTACCCCCCTTCCAAACAAATTAATTTTGAAGAACTTTTCTTTTGTAAAATGTGGTACAAATTATGAGACATCCATACACTTAAACACAAATTATTGTCTGAAAACTAGAAAAATTCGTAAGGGTTCCGCGGAACCCAGTGTCTCGCCTACTTTTGCTGTTAGTCGCAGGCTCAACAAAAATGGGGAAAAAATTATTAAAAATATTCCTCTAGATACCATCTTTTGATTGTAGAAGTTCTGTTCAAGTTTGGTAAAAATCCAAGAAGGTTTATGAATCTAATAAATGTCATAAAAACTTTAACTGCAGACTGTACGTAATGTTAACTGGAATAAAACTAAGTCCATTTATAAGTAATATAAGGAAAAACAGGAAATAAATTTTTACAAAATTTCCATCTAGATACCAGCTTTTGATCATAAACAAGCTTCTGTCCAAGTGTGGTACAAATCCAGGATAGTTTAAGAAAGATATTTAAATTTGAAAAACTTTAACCACAGAGTGAATGTTATGTTAACTGGCAGAAAAACTAAGTCCATACATGAGTAAAATACGGATAAACAGGATTTTTTTTTTTATAAAATTTCCTTCTGGATACTATCTTATGATTATAAACAAGCTTCTGTCCATGTTTGGTATAAATCTAGGATAGTTTACGAAAGTTATTAAAATTTGAAAAACTTTAACCACAGAGTGAATGTAATGTTAACTGGCAGAAAAACTAAGTCCATTTATGAGTAAAATACGGATAAACAGGATTTTTTTTTACAAAATTTCCTTCTGGATACTATCTTATGATCATAAATGACCTTCTGTCCAAGTTTGGTTGAAATGCAGGATAGTTTAAGAAAGTTATAAAAATTTCAAAAACTTTATCCACAGAGTGAATATTTGTGGACGCCGCTGACAACGCCATACGAAAACGCAGCGCCAACTGAATGTAGGATCGCTATGTCTCGCTTTTGCGACAAAAGTCGCAGGCTCAACAAAAATGTTTGTTTTAGACCCTTTTTGGTCCCTAATTCCTGAACGGTTTGGGCAATTACACCAAAATGAATCCCAACCTTCTACTTGTGGCATTGAAGCTTGTGGTACAATTTCAGAGCAATCAAAATACTTATACAAAAGTTATTGTCCTGAAACTAGAAAAATGCTTGTTTTAGCCCCTTTTTGGCCCCTAATTCCTAAACGGTTTTTAAAAGTCCATTTATAAGTAATATACGGAAAAACAGGAAATAAATTTTTACAAAATTTCCTTCTAGATACCAGCTTTTGATCATAAACAAGCTTCTGTCCAAGTGTGGTACACATCCAGGATAGTTTAAGAAAGTTATTAAAATTTGAAAAACTTTAACCACAGAGTGAATATTTGTGGACGCCGCCGCCAACACCGTACGACGACAACACAAACGGAATGTAGGATCGCTATGTCTCGCTTTTGCGACAAAAGTCGCAGGCTCAATAGAAATGCTTGTTTTAGACCCTTTTTGGCCCCTAATTCCTGAACGGTTTGGGCAATTACCCCAAAATGAATTCCAACCTTCTACTTGTGGCATTGAAACTTGTGGTACAATTTCAGAGCAATCAAAATACTAATACACAAGTTATTGTCCTGAAACTAGAAAATGCTTGTTTTTGCCCCTTTTTGGCCCCTAATTCCTAAACGGTTGGGACCATCACCCCCAAAAACAATCCCAACCTTCCTTTTGTGGTCTTGAACCTTTTGGTTAAATTTCATAGAGATCCATACACTTAAACTAAAGTTATTGTCCGGAAACCAAATGCTTTCGGACGACGCCGACACCGATGACAACAACGTGATACCAATATACAACCGCAAAAATGTTGTTTAAAAAAAAATGTGGATAGTACGCTAAAATTGACGCCACCAAATTCAAACTTGATCTGTGTTTTGTGGTAATAATCATTGTGTATAAGTTTCATAACATTTGGTTGAGGCAAACTTAAGTTAGAGAACGGAAACCAAAAATTCAGCAATTTTTCCAATTGTAAAGGGGCATACCTCTAGAATGTTAAAAGTGACACTACCGAAATTCAAACTTGATTTGTGGTAATAAGCATTGTGTATGAGTTTCATAACATTTGGTTGAGGCAAACTAAAGTTAAAGAACGGGAACCAATTTCAGGACATACAAGCAGACGTACAGACGGACAAGGGTAAAACTTAATGCCCCCTCCGCTACGGCGGGGGCATAAAAAATACATAGTAGTATACGGTGCATTAACTCATTTTTGAGAATTGAGGAAAAAAATGTATTTTCCTGGATATGCTGGATACTTGAATTCATGGTTTTGACAAAGTCTGCATACAAGAATATAGATAGTTTGTACTTTGTTGAACATTCAAATCCCGCTTTTACCTTTACCCACAAAATTCATGTGCCATCAGGCATAGCAAGAGTACGTAAGACTACGTTAGAAAGTGCAAAATCCATGAAAAGTAGTATCCCATGAATAACAATGAATCCACAGTAGTACATTTGCTATTCCATATTTTAGAGATTGTGTCACGAAATCCAGGCCTTGCGGTCATAAAATTTCGAGCACAATTTTTGTACTCAGACTCGGAAATCAACCAATCAAAATCCTGGATTTGGTGTTTCGAGCACAAATTTTGTACTTCGAGTACTGAGTAAAGTTTTATGACCAAGAGCCCAGCTTACTTTTCTCTAATTTTACACTTGAGTAATGCTTGAGTTGAATAGTTTGTTTGAGAATGTTTGTATTTTAAAACACTCACCTCTATTTGTTGTACTGTGAGATCTAAGAAGGTCAACTCATTTCTGACACTGATTGTACTCTTTGGTCCTTTACATCCCATGCTAGTCCCAAGACCTCCATTTAATTTGAGGACTACTAACTTGTCTAATAAGTCCTTGATTTTGGCTGTTTCAGGCCTTGCTAGATCATTATATGGTTTTGCCTATGGAAAATCATAATCATGAATTTTGTATGATTTTTAAATTGAGACAAAATTAAAGATAAAAAGTATGTATTACACAAAACTTTAATATAAGATTAGCCTTCACTTAGTTTTTAGTATGCCAAAGGTTAGTGGTTCTCTCTGGGTACTCAGGCTTCATCCACCAAGAAAAACTGGCCACCACAGTATAGTTAAAGAGTGCTAAAAGTGGCATTAAATACTAACAATCAATCAATCAAAAATGTTTAAGACTGCAATTAATGCTTGTTTATAAGATAACAGTCCTCAGAAGAGCATGTTACCTTACCCTCACACATTATTCTGACTATGTCGGATCTAACAGGTCTTTGCTCTTACTTCTAAATGCTGAGTACTGTGCGGAAAAACAGCAAATATGAATTCTAGTCTTTTGTTTGACCCAAAACAGGATCAAGCATCCCACACTTCACTTGAGGCCAAGACACTACCACAAGACCACCACAATAGTTTGTTTAGAGGCATTAACAATTTTCACTCTTGGTTAAGTAACCTTTGGTTAAATAATTTAAACAAGAGTTTTAGATAGTTCAAGCCTTTTTTATTTTTATCAAGAAGATGAACAGCAAGGTGCAGAACTGGTAATGAACTTCTGTTAGAACTACTGAACAAATAATGAGAAAATCAATTTAATATCAGACTTTGATCAACACATTTCTTGTATGATGTCTTTTCTATGAAACAACTGGTACTTACACCTCCTTCTGGTAACAGTTTAATTTTATCCCATAATACTGATGGTCCAGTTTCCTGTAGGTATCGGCCAAATAACTGTTCAAATCCATCTAATTCAGTTCTAGCTAACTACAATGAAAAATAAAAAATGTAATCAAATAATATGCATGAAAACAATTAGCATGAGAGGAATTAGAAGAAGAACTACCTTCCTGTTAAAATATGGCGTAAACAGAGGACTCCTTGCAAGATGTCAAATAACTCATCTCATGTTTAACAAGACAACATGCACTGCTCACTTTATCATGATTCCATGTTCAGTGAACCATAAAATCTAGGTCAAATCCTAATTTGGAATATGCTTTTACAACTTCATAACAATTTCATAATGACCCTTAAAGTTTGAAGTTGATATAACAATAACTTCATGATCACTACCTAAACCTAAAGCTATCATAAGTGGGACATATAAACAATCAATGTTTTATAATTCAATGTTAGAAATGATAACCAGTCATGTTGGATGAGAGGCAGTTTGCTCTACAAGGATCTTATAGACAATTTCTGTTCCAACCTTGCCATAGAAGATTGTTGTCAACAACCCCTAACTGATGGCATTAGCTCCCATTGTCAGCAACCCCTAACTGATGGCATTAGCTCAAATTGTCAACAACCCCTAACTGATGGCATTAACTCACATTGTCAACAACCCCTAACTGATGGCATTAGCTCACATTGTCAACAACCCCTAACTGATGGCATTAGCTCACATTGTCAACAACCCCTAACTGATGGCATTAGCTCACATTGTCAACAACCCCTAACTGATGGCATTAGCTCACATTGTCAACAACCCCTAACTGATGGCATTAGCTCACATTGTCAACAACCCCTAACTGATGGCATAAGCTGACTTTGTCAACAACCCCTAACTGATGGCATTAGCTCACATTGTCAACAACCACGAACTGATGTCATTAGCTCACATTGTCAACAACCCCTAACGATGGCATTAGCTCACATTGTCAACAACCCCTAACTGATGGCATTCAATCCAATGTCAACAACCCTTAACTGATGGCATTAGTTCACATTGTCAACAACCCCTAACTGATGGCACTAGCTCACATTGTCAACAACCCCTAACTGATGGCATTAGCTCACATTGTCAACAACCCCTAACTGATGGCATTAGCTCACATTGTCAACAACCCCTAACTGATGGCATTAGCTCACATTGTCAACAACCCCTAACTGATGGCATTAGCTCACATTGTCAACAACCCCTAACTGATGGCATAAGCTGACATTGTCAACAACCCCTAACTGATGGCATTAGCTCACATTGTCAACAACCGCTAACTGATGGCATTAGCTCACATTGTCAACACCCCTAACTGATGGCATTAGCTCACATTGTCAACCACCCCTAACTGATGGCATTCAATCCAATGTCAACAACCCCTAACTGATGGCATTAGCTCACATTGTCAACAACCCTAAATGTTGTCAATAGCTCACATTGTCAACAACCCCTAACTGATGGCATAAGCTGATATTGTCAACAACCCCTAACTAATGGCATTAGCTCACATTGTCAACAACCCCTAACTGATGGCATTAGCTCACATTGTCAACAACAGCGAACTGATGGCATTCAATCCAATGTCAACAACCCCTAACTGATGGCATTAGCTCACATTGTCAACAACCCCTAACTGATGGCATTAGCTCATATTGTCAACAACCCCTAACTGATGGCATTAGCTCACATTGTCAACAACCCCTAACTGATCGCATTAGCTCACATTGTCAACAACCCCTAACTGATGGCATTAGCTCACATTGTCAACAACCCCTAACTGATGGCATTAGCTCACATTGTTAACAACCCCTAACTGATGGCATTAGCTCACATTGTCAACAACAGCAAACTGATGGCACTAGCTCACACTGTCAGGAGTAAGTATAAAACAGAAAAGGCAGCAATAACCTTAGTAACAAGACTCACTCAACATTGACTGCAATGTTCACAACTGTAAATTATAAATGGAGAATGTGTCTATGGGCCCCACAGATGCCCAGCCTGTAAATATGGATGAGTCAACTTTCACATGCAGATGCAGGATTCACTGTTTTGTGGTTATAAGCATTGTGTATAAGTTTCATAACATTTGGTTGAGGCAAACTAAAGTTAGAGAACAGAAACGACAGATTTAGCCATTTTTCCATTTATAAAGGGGTATAACTCAAGAACGGTAAAAGTGACGCCACCCAATTTCAAACTTGATCTGTGGTAATAGGCATTGTGTATAAGTTTTATAACATTTTTTTGAGGCAAACTAAAGTAAGAGAACGTAAACGAAAAATTCAGCAATTTTTATGTTTATAAATGGGAATAACTCATGAACAGTAAAAGTGACGCCACCCAATTTCGAACTTGATCTGTGTTTTATAGTAATAAGCATTGTGTATAAGTTTTATAACATTTGGTTGAGGCAAATCAAAGTTAGAAAAACAAATGAAAAATTCAGCAATTTTTATGTTTATAAAGGAGCATTTCTCATGAACGGTATAAGGGACGCCATCCAATTTCGAACTTGATCTGTGTTTTGTGGTAATGAGCATTGTGTATAATTTTTATAACTTTTGGTTGAGGCAAGCTAAAGTTACAGAACGGAAACGAAAAATTCAGCAATTTTTATGTTTTTAAAGGGGCATACCTAATGAACGGTAAAAGTGACGCCACCCAAATTTCGAACTTGATCTGTGTTTTGTGGTAATAAGCATTGTGTATAAGTTTTATAACATTTGGTTGAGGCAAACTAAAAGTTAAGAGAACAGAAATCAATTTTGGGGACGTACGCGACGGACTGACTGACAAGGATAACACTTAATGCCCCCCTCAGCTACGGCGGGGGCATAAAAATTGAATCCATAACTATGGTATCTGATAGCCCTGTATATTTTATGTTTTAATTTTAAATCAATTTATATTTCAGTAAACAGATGCTCAGGGCAACAGATGTAAAATACAAAATAAATGATATGTATACTTGTAAAGACCTTTTACTTTTGTTCATATAAATTTTGTTTCAAAATCCTTTGAACAGCTAACATATAAAAGTAATAAGTGAATACTTGACATAAGATTAACTTTTAAAGGGCCTAACATGTGTGCATACTCATGGGCCTTGTCAAGAAAAACTCAGTAAAATATAATCTGAAAAACAAATTCATGTACAACATAAAAGTTAAATTTTCGTGGTTCTTTCAGACTCAAGGAGCTTCTACAAATCGGATTTTAGCTCAATCAGGCATTTTTTTTCACTTCTACACCAATTTGGACCCTTATATAATCTGGGGAACCATATATGCTGGTCCAACTTTAGACACTTTTTAGATAGGGATATTTAAAAGAAATATGAATAAAAACAATATTGTTATCTGATGTTAAAGAAAATCTGTGCATAAAAATAGATAAAACATTCTTATATAAAAATAATGAGATGTGGTATGATTGCCAATGAGACGACTATCCACCAAAGTTCAAATAAAGTGGATGTAAGCAATTATAGGCAACTGTACACCCTTCAACAATGAGAATAAAATGCTTCGTTGAGCACAGCCTGATACGACTGCAGAGGTCGAACCCTGAACAGTTGGGGCAAGTTTGGACACAAAGTGACAATATTCAAGCTTGATACTGTCTGAATTTGGATTGCGATCAAATTTTTGACATAATATAGATTTCTGTCACAAAATAAATGTGGTCAAAGATCTTAATAATTTGAAATGGGACATTTAATTTACCTAGTATGGTCTGATATCCAAAATCTAACAACATGGTTAGATTCAGCATATAAAAAAACACCAAAAATTTAATTTTAGTTGAAATCAAACAAAGTTTAATTTTGGACTCTTCAAATCTTAATATGGATTAATTTGAAAACAGGGTCCAAAATAAAAAATCTAAATGCACAATAAGATTCAGCATATCATAGAGCCGCAATAATTCAGTTTTTGATGAAATCAAACATAGTTTAATTTTAGACCCTTTTGACCTCAGAGTAGACCAATTTAAAATGGGACCCAATATCCAAAAAAGTAATACAAGGTTAGAACCCCTAAAAATGAAAGACTTTAAATTAATCCCCATTGAAATTTGTTAAAAAATTTGTATTTATTTTCAATTGAAGGTTTCTTGCTATTGTGCAATACTGTGCTATTACGCAATACTGTGCAATTGAAGATTTCTTGTTATTGCGCAATACTGTGCAATTGAAGATTTCTTGCTATTGCGCAGTACTGTGCTATTGTGCAATACTGTGCAATTGAAGATTTCTTGCTATTCTGCAATACTGTGCAATTGGAGATTTCTTGCTATTGCGCAATACTGTGCAATTGAAGATTTCTTGCTATTGCGCAATACTGTGCTATTGCTAAATACTGTGCTATTGTGCAATATTGCGCTATTGTGCAATTGAAGATTTCTTACTATTGCGAATTACTGTGCTAATGCGCAATACTGTGCAATTGAAGATTTCTTGCTATTGACCAATACAGTGCAATTGAAGATTTCTTGCTATTGCGCAATACTTTGCTATTGCGCATTACTGTGCAATTGAAGATTTCTTACTATTGTGCAATACTGTGCAATTGAAGATTACTTGCTATTGCACAATACTGTGCAATTGATGATTTCTTGCTATTGCGCAATACTGTGCAATTGAAGATTTCTTGCTATTGCCCAATACTGTGCTATTGCGCAATACTGTGCAATTGGGCAATACTGTGCAATTGAAAATTTCTTGCTATTGCGCAATACTGTGCAATCATTTGAAATTTCAAAAATTTTGAAAAAAAAAAAATATGAACTCACAAAAAAATTGGAAAAAAAAATCCCCCAAACTTTTTGAACCCCCTCCCCCTTGGAGTAATTATCCCTAAATTAATCCCAGCCTTCCCTTTGTTGTATGGAACCTTGTAGTACAATTTTAGAGAGATCCATACACTTAAACACAAGTTACTATCTGGAAACTAGAAAATACTTGTTTTTGGCCCCTTTTTTGCCCCTAATTCTTGAACCGTTGGGGCAATTACCCCCAAACTCAATCCCAGCCTTCCCT